TCCCACTCGCTCCCGCCATTTTATACATTAAAAAAAGACTATTCTAGTTATCCTCACTCGCTTCCGCCTCATCTGAATTAAAAAAAAACTTCACACCTGCTTTACTCTCTTCCTTTTCTATAAAAAAATAGGATTAAAAAACATCAAATTTCCATTCGCCCCCGCCTCCTATTTCATTAAAAAGGGTTTCATATCCTTCTATTTTCTCCACTAAAACAATTTTTCACACATTCTTTACTCACTTCCTCCCTCCTTTCCATACAAAAATGACGACATTTTTCTCACCCGCCCCCTCGGTGGCCATCTTCTGCACTAAACAAATCATTTCAGACTCTCTCTACTCGGTTCATTACTCGTTTCTATAATAAAAGAAATGATTTCACTTACTTCCCACTCACCCTCGCCACCTTCTTCATAAAAACACTGCTCCCACAATTTTGTGCATTTAAAAAATCATTACCATTCGTCCCTGATTCCTTCATTAAAAAAAGAGGCTACATATTCTTTCCACTAGCTCTCTCCCTTTTTTCCACTAAAACGAATATTTCACCGCTTCTTCCCTTCCACTCCTCATTCTCACCCGCCATCTTCTGAACTAAGAAATTATTTCAACCCTCTCTACTCGCTGCTGATGATGATGATTACATTTAATTCCCAATCGCCTCCGCTCCTTTCTTAAATAAAAAGATTCGCATCCTTCTGAATCCCGCCATATTCTTCGTTAAAAAAAGGATTTCATATCCTTCTCGCTCGCTCCCGTCCTTTTTCTCCAATGAGAAGAATATTTCACACACTATCTTTATTCGTTTCCTCCCCCCTTTCCACAATAAATTATTGTACAACTTACTCACTCGCTCCTGCCATCTTCTCCACTAAACAAATTGTTTCAGACCCTCTACATTTAAAAGAAGATGTTTTCACATTCACCCCTCTCGCTTTCGTCTTCTTCTCCACAAAAAAAAACGATTTCACATCTTTCTCACTCGCTCTCGCTCTCTTCTCCATTTAAAAAGTATGATTTTACCGTCTTCATACCCTCTTTCGCGTTTTTTTGCCACCAAGAAAAACATTTTGCATCTTTCCTAGTCGCTGTCTCCCTCCTTTTCATAAAAAAATGAGTGCACATCTTTCCCACTCGCTACATCCATCTTCTCCATAAAGTAGGTCCCCTTCCACTAGCTTCTTCACTCCGTCTTATAGTAGAAATCGCATCCGATCTCTTTTCCATAAAAAAATAATGATATCGCACTCTTCAAAAATGATTTGACATCCCCACTCGCTTCCTCCCACCCATCTATTTAAGAAATGCTTTGACGTCTTTCCCACTCGCTCTCGCCCACTTCTCTATTTCACATCTTCTATTCTTCCTCCTCTCCTCCTTGCCTTTAAAAGATGATATATCCATTTCATTCGCGGATTCGCCACCGCCTTCTTTTTCATAATGATTTTAAAAACATCATTCTCATTCACGCCGCCTCCTTCTTCATTAGAATAAATGACATCATATTCCCCCTACCCCTTCCTTCCATTAAAAAAATTGTTTCCACTCGATCCCGCCCCCCCTTCAGCACTTGTGTTTTGCCTTGTTTTCAATTGCAAATTGATTTCACATCCTCCCTACTCCCATTCGCTCTCTTTTCTATTACAAAAAATGCTCTTAACGTTGTCTATATTAAAAGAAAATGATTTCATATTTTTCCCACCCGGTTTCACCCACTTTTCCACGAATAAAAACTTTCCTCTCTAGTAATTTCCTCCTTTGTTTCCGTAAAAAAATGATTTCACGTCCTTTACACGCAGTTCCGCCATTTTCTACATGAAAAAATGATGTTTTCACCTCCTTTTCTCACTTACTTTCATCTTTTACTTTAATGGTTTCTCACCATTCGATCTCGCATCTGATCTCGTTTCATTAAAAAGAAATGATTTCGCATCCTTCAAACTCGCTTCCAGCCACTTCTATATTAAAAACAAGATTTCCCCCCCCCCCCCCTATTCGCTTCCTCCCTCTTTTCTATTTAGAAAATGGTTTGCCATCCTTCCCACTCACCCTCGCCCACTTCTTTATAAATAAAACTATTTCACATATCCTGCATATTCCCTCCCCCTTCCTTTCCTTTGAAAAATGATTTCATATCTTTTTCACGCGCCACCGCCCTCTTTTCCATAATTTCTATCATGTGCATTCACCCCCCGCCACCTTCTTCATTTAAAAAATAACATCACATTCCCCCTACTGGCTTTCTTCTACCTTTTATTTTTGATTTTACGTCCCTTCCACTCGATCCTGTCCTCTTCAGCACAAAAAACCACCCCACTTGCTTCTGCCTTGATTTCTAACTCACTTCCACCATCTTCTTCCATTAAAAAGTGACCCGAACATACTTAACAATCGCTTCCGCTCTCTTCTCCACTCAAAAAAAAAAATATTTCAAACCCTCCATGCTCGCTTACTCTCCTCTTTCGACAACAATGATTTCTAAATTATCACTCCCCTTCGACCACGCCTCCCCCTTTATTAAAAAAAATGCTTTCACATCATTCCCATTCGCCCTATTCTCCATTAAAAAAATGTGATTTTACCTTCTTCCCACTTCCTTCCGCCCTCGTCGCCACCAAAAAAAGATTGCGTTTCCGTACTCAGTTCCTCCCTCCTTTTCCCTTTCCATGAAAAAATGACTACATGTCTCTCACTCGCCCTTGCCACATACGCCACTAGAAAACGTTATTCCAAACCCTCTCGCTTACTCACTCATTTCTATACCTAATAAAAAATGTTTTCACTTACTTCCCACACGTTTAATTTTCTACATTAAAAAAAGATGATTCCACATTCTTCCCCCACGCTTCCGCCCTCTCGTCCATTGACGAAAATAATTTCACACCCTCCCTGCTAGCTTCCTATTTCTATCCCAATAGAAAATTGATTTCAGACGCTTCCCTTTCCATTAAAAAAGGATATTAAATCATTATACCACTTGCTTCCACCCTCCCACTCGCGGCGGATCTCTTCTCCATTTAAAAAACTGATTTCGCTCTCCCGTTCTCTTCGCTTCCTCTTTACTTCTTATAACAAGTTGTAAATCAGCATATGCATGATTAAAGCGCATTTTTGGTAATGCAGGTCAGTATTTTATTAGCGAAGTTTAAAAATTATCGATCTCACGAGTAATTTTGGCTGCGTTAAATAATTAATTTTATTTAATTTCAATTGACGGTACGTCTTCATTTTGTAAAACAAATCACAAAGTAAATAATAAGTTTTTATACTTGTAGCGCCATCTAACGGTAAAATTATAGCACCTCCGAAACCCATATCGAAATTATTTTCTTCAATTATCGATTTCACAAGTAATCTAACTCAAAATAGACTAGTGCCTGCATATCTACACTATAGCAGAAAGCTTTTAGTGAAAATTTGAAGTCTCTAGCTATTGTAGTTGTGGAGATCTAACGCGGACAGCCGGCCTGCCAGCAATGACGAATATAATAGCGTATTTTTTTCAAAAATGCGCTAAAAAATGATTTCACACTCTCCCCCGTCGCTTGCTCCCTCTTTTCCATTAAAACATGATTTCACATCCTTCCCACGCGCTTCTGCTCCTTTATTTCTCAAAAACAAAACTATTGTGTAGCCTTCTGACTGGCTGCCAACTTCTTCCCCATTAAAAAGAACGGTTTCGCACCCCTCCCACTCGATTCCATCTCATTCCCTATTAAAAAAGGACTTCCTCTCACTTTTTTATTTGCTTCCCGTCCCTTATCCATTACCAATTTTTTTCACATCCCTCCCTCTGGATTTCTCCTTCTTGTCTACTAAAAAGTGTTCCGCCCCCTTCATCCTTAAAAAAATGATTCAATGGTGAGCTTTTGGATACCAATCTTTGTATAGCGTTCTTCTTTATTGCTTTATTGTTATCTTGTCACTTTTTATGTTGTATTTTCCTCGTTTATATTTCTCTTGAGTTGGACCTTTTTTTTGTTGATATGTTACATTAATTCTCTTTCTCTTTCTAACTCATTTTGGATTTTCCCTCTCTTTTGTCCTGTTTTGATGCAATGTTTCGTTTCTTTTTCCCTTTTTGTGCTTTTCTTACTAATATTTTTGTATTTCATCATTCTGAAAGGTCCATTATTATCAGTTGCTGATAGAGAATATTGAGCTTCGTGTAGCTCTAGGGTCTCCGAAATTTATAGTCTCTGTATTTTCTGAATTTTGTGAAATTCTGATTGTAAGAAGTCAAGCCCTAAAATTTCAGGTGTTCTCTTTGCTCACTTCAGTATTTTGTTTTGGTTGGCTAAGTATCTAGAACTTCTAGAGTTATAGTCTCTCCAGAAGGGTTAGACTCTAGAACTAAATGAAGCTCTAAAATCTAGAGGTTTTGAACGCTCTACATTCTAGCCCTTCTGAACTTTTGTGCGTTAATGAGCTCTAATTTTGCGCTATTAAAGTGAAATATTTTTGGGAACAATTACCTATGGCAAATAATGCGACTATTTTTTCTTGCCGGGACCAGATATGGAAACTATCCACCTGTCATTAAAATGAGTGTAATTAGCGCCGCCTATTGTTAGAAATGGTACGGAAAGATGCGTCCATGTATGCGAAAACTTGAATCGAGGGGAGCGCACAATAAGCGTTTCCACTGCAATCGCACGAAAAAAGAAGTCGTCGGAAAACGCGGGCATTAAAAAAAATTGAAAAGATCCCTTACACTAAAGCACATTCTATAAGCGGTTTTCCGGACCGTGTGGTTTAACTCCCTCGCGTGTCTGATTACGTAATATTTCTACGTTCTCCCCCGAGGCACTTAATTTTCTTCAATCCTTCATTTTCCTTCCTTCGGCGTCGCGGCGCACTTACAGTCCGCCCGAATGCACGAGAGGACGACGGCGGGCGTCCAACAAATCCGGTCCACTCCTTAATTTACTTGCATTTCAAATATTTTGCGAAATGTCCGCGCGATCCCCTTTCTCGAAGACAGTGGCGTATCGAAACGTAAGCAGAGCAAGTTTATTTTACGAAAAATATGTACAAAATAGCTAAATTGGTCAGTACTCCTCTTGGTTGCAACAGGGCAGGAACACGTTAACTCCGCATACCACCTCGAAGGCTAGCAGGACGAAGAGCATTATGTCCAGGCAGAACTCTAGCCGAAGCACGGGCCACTGGATCAGGAAGACGTAGAGCAGTGCGAGCATCGAGACAATCGTTAGGAATACCGCTAGTACCACTGACCATCCTGCAAAGAGCACGTACATTAGTTACATATATTCGTAACTAGAGGCTCTGCATCGCTCTGTAGTTTCTAGAGTGAACTAACTCTAGACCACTATTTTTATCGTATCACAGTCTGATGCAATTTCTCTACGCACTCTACAAATTACAGAGACACTAAGGGCCTAAAAATCCTCATCCAACAGCAAACACTAGCTTGCAATCGCTCTTATCTTTTATAGATCAGGACGCCAATGTATTAGGAGAGTACGAGGTCGTGAGTGGAACTATGAGATTAAGAGACTATAAATTTGTAAGACTAAGAGACTAAAACGCAGGGAGACGGAGTGGTTGGGAGATATAGGGATAGTAAGATACCAGGAGACTAGGCACTAAGACAAATTGACCTGGAGGTTGTGGGTAAATAGCCAGTAGGAAGTATAAATGGACGACTAGGATAACAGGAAGATAAGAAAACATCAGGATAACAGACTATGAGACCGAACTTATGGAGGAGGTGATTGAAAATTAGGTTAAGGTATTAGTGAGGTTGGGTCAAAGTGTTAGTTAGGTTAGCTGAGAAATTTATCAGGAGAATATAATCTGTGAGGAGGTGATTGAAAATTGGGTTAAGGTATTAGTGAGGTTAGGTTAGAGTGGTAGTTGGGTTAGGTCCTTCATTCACCCTCCTCGTACATTATATTCTCCTGATACAAGACTTCTCACCAAACCTACCTAGCACTCTAACTTAACCTCAGTGATATTTTACTCTAACCTTCAATCTCCTCGCACATTATATTCTCCTGATGCAGTATTTCTCACCTAACCTAACTAGCACTCTAACTTAACCTCACTCCTACTTTAACATAATTTTCAACCACCTCCTCGCACATTATATTCTCCTGATACAACATTTTTCATCTAACCTAACCTCACTCGTACTTTAAAAGAACTTTCAATCCCTTTCTCGCACATTATATTCTCAAGTCAAAATATATTGGTATGCTGGGAGAGGGAGGGGGGGCATTCTATACCACCAGACCCCCGGTGATAAGTTCGGCTACTAGTTTGTTATCCTGATGTTTCTTTATCTTCCTAGTGTCCTAGTCGCCCATTTGTCCTTCCTACTGGCTATTTATCCACAACCTCCTGGTCTATTTCTATTTGTCTTAGTGCTTAGTCTCCTGGTATCTTACTATCGCTCTCTCCCATCTTTTCTGTCTCCTGGTGTTTTAGTCCTAGTAATAATGGCTTTAAGGATAAAACAATACCAAATCGGATAGTCTGAAGTTATGGCTCCCCCCCCCCCTTCAGGAACAAGAGAACACATTTCCCCACAACTGCACAATACATTCGTACACGTATCAGGAGAATATAATGTGCGAGGAGGTGGTTGGAAACTATGTTAAAGTATGAGTTAGTGTATGAGTACTAGTTAGGTTAGGTAAATAATCTTGTATCAGGAGATTATAATGTGCAAGGAGGTGATAGAGGGTTATGTTAAAATATTAGTGAGGTTAGGTAAGAGTGATAGTTAGGTTAGGTGAAAAATCTTGTATCAGGAGAATATAACGTGCGAGGAGGTGATGGGGTATTATGTTGAAATATTAGGGAGGTTAGGTAAGAGTGCTAGTTAGGTTAGGTGAGAAATCTTGTATCAGGAGAATATGATGTGCGAGGAGGTGATTGAACGTTAGGTTAGAGAAAGTGAGGTTAGGTTAGAGTGCTAGTTAGGTTAGGCGAGAAAGCTTGACCTACGAGTGAGGTTAGGTTAGAGTGATTGTTAGGTTTGGTGAAAAATCTTGTATCAGGAGAATATAATGTGCGAGGAGGTGATTGAAGGTTATGTTAAAATATTAGTTAGGTTAGGTAATAGTGCTAGTTAGGTTAGGTGAAAAATCTTGTATCAGGAGTATATAATGTGCGAGGAGGTGATAAGAGAGTTATGTTAAAATATTAGTGAGGTTAGGTAAGAGTGATAGTTAGGTTAGGTGAAAAATCTTGTATCAGGAGAATATAATGTGCGAGGAGGTGATAAGAGGGTTATGTTAACATATTAGTGAGGTTAGGTAAGAGTGATAGTTAGGTTAGGTGAAAAATCTTGTATCAGGAGAATATAACGTGCGAGGATGTGATGGGGTATTATCTTGAAATATTATTGAGGTTAGGTAAGAGTGCTAGTTATTTTAGGTGAGAAATCTTGTATCAGGATAATATGATGTGCGAGGAGGTGATTGAACGTTAGGTTAGAGAAAGTGAGGTTAGGTTAGAGTGCTAGTTAGGTTAGGCGAGAAAGCTTGAACTACGAGTGAGGTTAGGTTAGAGTGATTGTTAGGTTTGGTGAGAAATCTTGTATCAGGATAATATGATGTGCGAGGAGGTGATTGAACGTTAGGTTAGAGAAAGTGAGGTTAGGTTAGAGTGCTAGTTAGGTTAGGCGAGAAAGCTTGAACTACGAGTGAGGTTAGGTTAGAGTGATTGTTAGGTTTGGTGAGAAATCTTGTATCAGGATAATATGATGTGCGAGGAGGTGATTGAACGTTAGGTTAGAGAAAGTGAGGTTAGGTGAGAGTGCTAGTTAGGTTAGGCGAGAAAGCTTGAACTACGAGTGAGGTTAGGTTAGAGTGATTGTTAGGTTTGGTGAAAAATCTTGTATCAGGAGAATATAATGTGCGAGGAGGTGATTGAAGGTTATGTTAAAATATTAGTGAGGTTAGGTAATAGTGCTAGTTAGGTTAGGCGAAAAATCTTGTATCAGGAGAATATAATGTGCGAGGAGGTGATTGAATGTTATGTTGAAATATTAGTGAGGTTAGGTAATAGTGCTGGTTAGGTTAGGTGAAAAATTTTGTATCAGGAGAATATAATGTGCGAGAAGGTAATTGAAGGTTATGTTAAAATATTAGTGAGGTTAGGTAATAGTGCTAGTTAGGTTAGGTGAAAAATCTTGTATCAGGGGAATATAATGTGTGAGGAGGTGATTAAAGGTTAGGATGAAGTACGAGTGAGGTTAGGTTAGAGTGATTATTAGATTAGGGCGCAAAATCTTGTATCAGGAGAATGTAATGTGCGAGGAGGTGATCGGGGGTTATGTTAAAATATTAGTGAGGTTAAGTAAGAGTGCTAGTTATGTTATGTAAATAATATTGTATCAGGAGACTATAATGTGCCAGATTGTAGGTTATTATAAAGTATTAGTGAAGTTAGGTTACAGTGATTGTTAGGTTAGGCGAGAAATCTTGTATCAGGAGAATATAATGTTCGAGGAGATTGAAGGTTAGGATCAAATATTAGTGAGGTTAGGGTTAGGTGAGAAATCTTGTATCAGGAAATGGTTGGAAATTTTATGTTAAGGTATGAGTGAGGTTAGGTTAGAGTATTAGTTAGGTTAGGTAAATAATCTTGTATCAGGAGATTATAATGTGCGAGGAGATTGAATGTTAGGATAAAGAAATAGTGAGGTTAGGTTATAGTGATTGTTAGGTTAGGTGAGAAATCTTGTATCAGAAGAATATAATGTGCGAGGAGTTTGAAGGTTAGGATGAAATATTAGTGAGGTTAGGTTACAGTGCTAGTTAGGTTAGATGAGAAACCTTGAAATACGAGTGAGTTTAGGTGTACAGTTTCAGTTAGGTTAGGTGAAAAATCTTGTATCAGGAGAATATAATGTGCGAGAAGACGATTGAAGGTTAAGATAAAGTTTTATTGAGGTTAGGTTGGGTGGGAAACCTTATGTCGGGTTGAAGGTTATGTTAAAGTATGAGTGAGTATTATGGAATACCAAACGGCAGATCGGGGGGGTGGAAATGGAATACCGCCCAGGAGAAAGGGAAGAAATTTTCCTACAACTGTCAATTATACCTTCGCATACTGGGGGGTAATGCATACTCCCCGGACCCCCCGCGATAAATTCAGCCATAAAACGTGCAGCTCCCTTTCCTTGGCCCTTTCTAATATTCACGTAGTTAAGGATGAACAAAACCTGCCGGTGCTGGTTGCATTTTCATTTTCTGGAAGGCCCCTATGGGAGCACCGATGGTAAAGGGCAATGAGCCATCGAGTCTCTCTTTGTAGGATGTATTTAACTTTCCGGCGCGTATATAACTTTTGTTTTGCTGGGGGTATTCCACATCGGAGGACCTTGGGGGTATTCCTCCCCATTATATACAGTGGTTAGCACTGAGGGTTAGAGGAAGATGATCCTGGAGTCTTTGTTTGGTGGTTTTAAATCCTCGGCTTACCACGATCGCACAGTTCAAAAAGCGCGTTAACTGAAATCGCTTCGGGACCAAAACCGCTTCAAAACGAATTGTATTAGGAGCACAGAATTTTTGTAAATCTACTGAAATGCGGATACGCGTGCTGCTGTTTTGCACCAGTAGTTCCGTTATTAGGATCAGGGTCTTTGCATTAGCTGTTATTTACGTCGGTAGTTCTGTGGTATCAGGATCACAGAAACGTCAGAAATTCGAATATCCCCTGCGATTGGGTAAATTCTTCAAGCTTTAACTTTCGTGTGGTCCTGGTATAAGACTTCCGGAGAAATAATCTTGAGAGGTTTACATAAGTGTCATAAACGTACTAATTATATGTTTGTTTTTACTAGGACACGATTCTAATAATACTTTAATACAGCTACAGTGTTCAAAATCTTTTTTGAATCGCAACACTTTCAACACATAATTTATATCAGTAGTGCAAAGGTATAAGGAGCACCAGATCCCCCCGGACCCCAAATGCCAGTTTGAACAATTGCCAAACGACGCCACCGTTGCCTTTTGTCGCGCACTTTCATTCATCGGCTCCTATTTAAAGCGTGATTAACGACTACGGTCTACGTTAATTATCAAGCGTTGCGTCATACCTGTATATCGGTGCCGAAACTTCCGAAACAGAATTATCTTGAGCAACTCGGAGATGGTCAAACTGGCGGCGATGTACGCGTCCCTTACTATATTTGGCGTATTGTAGTCGTCATTGTCACTCAGATTTTTCGCTATCCAAATCGCTATATTCGACATTGTGAACATGTAATAGTAGTAGTTGTTGAGGTACATTAGGCAATCGAAGAAGAGCAATGGATCCATCCTTGACGAGACGGTTACTAAGTAATTTATTCGGAACGCAGTTGCGGGCGTGTGTCGTCTGATGGCGTTATTTTTAGATCACCTCCGAGTTATGAGGGGTTCTCGATCCGCTCGAGCTATGCGCTCGGTGGTCAAAGCGAGGGATTGTTTGGCGTACAAAAGCTTCATTAATAAAAGTACAAGAGGACAATGCCAACTATCGAAGATCCACCTAATTATACGAGTGCCTCCAAGAATAGCCGAAGTAGGTGACTACCTAGATCTATAATTAAAGCGCAATCATTAGATAGTCAACTTCATTACGTTATGGACCCGCTTCTCGCCTTCGACGTCCTGATTTACCTTAACGTGTACTTCTATCCGACTTTCGCGATCGCCAACGTCGCGATGTGGGCGGCGAAATTTACGAGTTCCGTTTTTCCGACGCCCGACATCGAGCAGGATGGACTAGTCATGGGGACGATGGTCTCGTCCGAGCTTTTCAAACTGTTGCTATTCCGTAGGTTGCGCGAGACACGTGCAGGTATGGCGACTTTTGCACCCCCCCCCCTTTTTTTTGTATCGCATGACCTTCTCCCAAAGCGTACTTTGGACTTGGTACTTCATCCGAGTACTTTTTTAAAGTGATTAATCGTCCAACTCTACTGATTTGTTTTATGCTCAACCTCAAACTCAAACCATTTCCATTTTTTTTTTTTGCAAAACTGCCGGTATGCTTCGGGCAGGTCTTCTTCCTGCGCCTCTTCTTACACTGATTCATCTTCTCCATGAATAGGCGAGTTTTTCCACCTGAAACACACGTGTCTTTGAGGAAATCGCATTTTGTCTCTAACACTTTAAGTATAATAGAGCATTGTGTTCTTAATGAATGTCAGGATGTCTGGAGACAATTTATAACATAACACAAGCGCAACGAAGTAGGAACTGAATTCCAAACACAATAAGAGATGCTTGTATGACAAACAACATTCTTTCTAGAATCTTCTCGAGTATTTAGGACGCTTCAGAATGTTCTCGAACAAACACGTCATATTTCCCGGAAAGATTACGTCACATCCGCGTTCCCTCTTTATCATGGTAACGCCATGGATTTGTAGTTGCCGTACTGTAGTGTACTCCAAAATTCGCATCAGAAGAAGACCGGTCACCCCTGCTCCTGTAGGAAGCACGCTCTTGTTGTTGAAGGTAGATTTCTCTTACTCCCAAGCTTATTCTCCCGAACTAGGTCAGATCTTCCGATGGTGTTCATCGCACCTGTATCTAACAGCATTGTACCCTGATTATTGGTTAATCTCGGAGCAATTTCTTCGAACGTGTTCGTTTTTACCACATCTCAAACCTTCGCAGCCCTCGTCGTTTTCCTCGTTGCTGCTTCATTAATATGATTCTCGTTCTTCTCTTCTGTAACAATGGTGTGCACGCGAGCATTACCACGAGACGTTTTCTTTGCAACATCATACTCCAAGGTATGGAATCCCCCCCGCCCTCCCCCAGTAGGTATACTAAATATAGCGGTTCAATTGTCATTTCCACAAAACCCCCATGATAGTACTGATGGTTAGAAAGTCGAATCTTTCTTCGTTGGATGGTTTTCAATCCACTCCAACTATTATGGAAGTTCCTGGTGTGAATTGCATATCCCCCAGACACCCCCGGTGCTATTTTCCCAAAAACCGAGCCAAAAACTATTATGGTAATCGTAAGGGATAAACGTTTTGTGGGTGAAAGTTTTACCGAGGTGTAAGTCGGTATCAGTATGGAAGTCGTGAGGCATAAACTAGGACATAAACGTTTTGTGGGGGAGGTATGAGGTACCCCCCAGTATACTTCCTTTGCTGGGAGGTATTCCATGCCCTGCAGGCCCCTCGGAGCTATGTTCTATGGAATTCTATTCTGCAACTGAGTATCCAATTGTTTTCCCAAAAACTGTTATGGAAGTCGTGAGGGATAAACGTTTTGTGGGGTTCCGGGGTTCTAGGGGGTATCCCAGTATACTATATACGGTGGTTCGGTTATCTTATCCCGATAACCCCCATGATAGTACTGGGGGTTAGAGGGTCAAGACTTTCTTCGTTGGGTGGTTTTTAATATTCGCCGCGCTTCTAAATTCTTCCTTTGCTGGAGGCCCCAAAATAACCCTATATTTTCTTAGTGAAAAGTTTCATAAAAAACTGGGCTTATACTGATTGTTGAATAATTTGTGGTAAGTATAAAAGTTAACAAGGCTAACCTCAATTTTTTAAATGAAGCACCCTGTACATTTTAATCTAAAAAGATAGCATATTAAATTATATGTTCAAAAATAACACCAGAGACTATATTAAACAAAATTCAAGTGACTAAAAATTATTCAAAAAAACGATTGGAAAGAAAACAAAGAAATTCAAAAGGATTTTTTTAAGAACTCTTTTGAATCTTTTGAATCAATATAAAATTATTTTACTGTTATATTTTTGAAAAGAAAATTTGTTATATTTTCCATGAAACAGCATAATATGGCTCCTATGTTACTTTTTTGATAGTACCCTATAAAGGTTCGAAAATGGGACACCCTGTAAAGCTTTTCGTGCGGCTTAGAGTTAGTTGTAACAACCCTTGAAATCTAAGCCCTTAATAAACTAGACGTATTTTTAAGAGCTTGTAGAGCTTCTTAAGGTCACCAATAAGAGCTCCAAAGACATTCTAGGTTACTGTAAAGCGTTTACAATTCAATTCGTACTTTTTCGATTAGACTTCTCAGTCAAAATTTATAGACTAGAAACCAAATTCGAATGAAAATTCAAAGGGGTGTAACTTTTGAACTGGTAGCCCAATCTTCAAACTGTTTGAAATTATGGATTCTACAGGGGCACATTCTACCAGAAAATGTTTTTTTCCGGCCGATCTGAGACAATTTCTTTTTCGGGCCTCAAAAAAAGGCAGCGTATAACCTTCCTTTTTTTACCAAAAATCGAATACACCAAAATTTCTCGGGAAAACACTATTTCTTATTAATTTTGGGGCGTAGAATCCAAAACAATTCGTACTTTTTCGATTAGACTTCTCAATCAAAAGTTATAGACTAGAAACCAAATTCGAAAGAAAATTCAAAGGGTTGTAATTTTTGAACTGGTGGCCCAATCATCAAACTGTTTGAAATTATGGATTCTACAGGGCACATTCTATAAGAAAATATTTTTTCCAGGTCGATCTGAGACAATTTTTTTTTTCGGGGCTCAAAAAAAGGCAGTGTATAACCTTCCTTTTTTACCAAAAATCGACTACACCAAAATTTATCGGGAAAACACTTTTTCTTATTAATTTTGGGGCGTAGAATCCAAAACAATTCGTACTTTTTCGATTAAACTTCTCAATCAAAAGTTATAGACTAGAAACCAAAAAAAAAAAATTCAAAGGGCTGTAACTTTTGAACTGGTAGCCCAATCTTCAAACTGTTTGAAATTATGAATTCTACAGGGCACATTCTATATGAAAATATTTTTTTCCGGCCGATCTGAGACAATTTTTTTTTCGGGGCTCAAAAAAAGGCAATGTATAACCTTCCTTTTTTACCAAAAATCGACTACACCAAAATTTCTCGAGAAAACACTTTTTCTTATTAATTTTGGTGCGTAGAATCCAAAACAATTCGTACTTTTTCGATCAGACTTCTCAATCAAAAGTTATAGACTAGAAACCAATTTCGAAAAAAAATTCAAAGCGCTGTAACTTTTGAACTAGTAGCCCAATCTTGGAACTGTTTGAAATTATGGATTCTACAGGCCACATTCTATAAGAAAATTTTTTTCCGGGTCGATCTGAGACAATTTTCTTTTCGGGCCTCAAAAAAAGGCAGTGTATAACCTTCCTTTTTTACCAAAAATCGCCTGCACCAAAATTTCTCGGGAAAACACTTTTTCTTATTAATTTTGGTGCGTAGAATCCAAAACAATTCGTACTTTTTCGATCAGACTTCTCAATCAAAAATTCTAGACTAGAAACCAATTTCGAAAAAAAATTCAAAGGGCTGTAACTTTTGAACTAGTAGCCCAATCTTGGAACTGTTTGAAATTATTGATTCTACAGGCCACATTCTATAAGAAAATTTTTTTTCCGGGTCGATCTGAGACAATTTTTTTTTCGGGGCTCAAAAAAAAGGCAGTGTATAACCTTCCTTTTTTACCAAAAATCGACTGCACCAAAATTTCTCGGGAAAACACTTTTTCTTATTAATTTTGGTGCTTAGAATCCAAAACAATTCGTACTTTTTCGATCAGACTTCTCAATCAAAAGTTATAGACTAGAAACCAATTTCAAAAAAAAATTCAAAGGGCTGTAACTTTTGAACTAGTAGCCCAATCTTGGAACTGTTTGAAATTATGAATTCTACAGGCCACATTCTATAAGAAAATTTTTTTTCCGGGTCGATCTGAGACAATTTTTTTTTCGGGGCTCAAAAAAAGGCATGTATAACCTTCCTTTTTTACCAAAAATCGACTGCACCAAAATTTCTCGGGAAAACACTTTTTCTTATTAATTTTGGTGCGTAGAATCCAAAACAATTCGTACTTTTTCGATCAGACTTCTCAATCAGAAGTTATAGACTAGAAACCAATTTCGAAAGAAAATTCAAAGGGCTGTAACTTTTGAACTAGTAGCCCAATCTTGGAACTGTTTGAAATTATGGATTCTACAGGTCACATTCTATAAGAAAATTTTTTTTCCGGGTCGATCTGAGAATTGTTTTTTCGAGCCTCAAAAAAAGGCAGTGTATAACCTTCCTTTTTTACCAAAAATCGACTACACCAAAATTTCTCGGGAAAACACTATTTCTTATTAATTTTGGGGCGTAGAATCCAAAACAATTCGTACTTTTTCGATTAGACTTCTCAATCAAAAGTTATAGACTAGAAACCAAATTCGAAAGAAAATTCAAAGGGCAGTAACTTTTGAGCTGGTAGCCCAATCTTCAAACTGTTTGAAATTATGGATTCTACAGGGGCACATTCTATAAGAAAATATTTTTTCCAGGTCGATCTGAGACAATTTTTTTTTCGGGGCTCAAAAAAAGGCAGTGTATAACCTTCCTTTTTTACAAAAAATCGACTACACCAAAATTTCTCGGGAAAACACTTTTTCTTATTAATTTTGGGGCTTAGAATCCAAAACAATTCGTACTTTTTCGATTAGACTTCTCAATCAAAAGTTATAGACTAGAAACCAAAAAAAATAAAATTCAAAGGGCTGTAACTTTTGAACTGGTAGCCCAATCTTCAAACTGTTTGAAATTATGAATTCTACAGGGCACATTCTATAAGAAAATATTTTTTTCCGGCCGATCTGAGACAATTTTTTTTTCGGGGCTCAAAAAAAGGCAATGTATAACCTTCCTTTTTTACCAAAAATCGACTACACCAAAATTTCTCGGGAAAACACTTTTTCTTATTAATTTTGGGGGTTAGAATCCAAAACAATTCGTACTTTTTCGATTAGACTTCTCAATCAAAAGTTATACACTAGAAACCAAATTCGAAAGAAAATTATTATTATCGGTCCTTAAGTCCGTAAGAGCTTTTAATAGTGGTTTTTCATGAACCTCGACAAGCCTTTAATCATTTTTATGAGTATTTGAAGACATGGAGTGGTCAGTAGCCTTTGGCAGACATTAACAGCTAGCAACGCGTAAACCCCAAATATATTCACCTGCCTGCGCAGCCTTTTGGTGGTTTTTAAAGTCTTTTTAAAACCAATACGAGTCGAGTAGTACATTTAAAAGGGTATCCTTTAGGAACAGCGGTTTTAAGGACTTCTAAAACCCTCCAAAGTTCTGTAAATGTCTTCTAAATGATTTTAGGACGTTTACCAGTTTTGAGACTGTTGTAAGATCTTTGATGGTAGGTATGGGCCTTAATCCCTGACAAGATTTGAGTTCTAAAAAATCAAATGGCCTTTTAAAGGTTTTTAATATTTTCAAACCGTCTCCAAAGGACTCTAAAGACCTCAATGGTTTTCGAAAGACTTGTAGAGAACCTTTAAGTATATTTATTAATCTTCGGGTCTTTAAGTGTCTTTTATAATTTGTAATGGTATCCTACCATAAATAAATAAATAAATAAATAAATTACAGTCCTTAAAGAGTCGTTAAAAAGATTAATTACCTTTAAGAGTATTTAACGGTATTTAATATTCAGGTCACAAAGGGCCTTTGGTGCCATCATAAGTTATAAGTGGTGTCTAGTGCATTTAAAGGATTTAAAGGGTAGAAAATTTCTCTTCAAGCGTTTGTTACTCTTTAAAGAGTGGCAAGAGCCTTAAAAAATCTCTAATAGCCTTCGAAGCTTTTAAGTTGTGATATTTTAAATGCGTTTGTTAATTTTTGAAGGTCTTTTAGCGGTATTTAATGGCTATCAACGGTTTCCTAGGACCTAAATGGTATCTAAAGCCTCTGAGAAGCTTTTCCACTACGTCACATCTTAGAGAGAGTATTTAAAATGTGAATCTTTAAGGGCATTACTAGCTTTAAGCGTCTCATAGTGCATTTACGCGCGTCTTTAATAATCGGTAACAGTTTTTAAGAGCTTCTAACGGCCTCAAAGGTTTTGGAATATTTTTTATGGATCTCTCTTTAAGTGCCCTGAAATAGATTTCTGCAACAGCTTCTAAGAGTTCAAGGATCGTCCAGAAGCTTTCAGTGTTCTTGAGATTCCCTCGTCCTTTTGGATCTTTTAAGAGACTTAAAGACCTTTAATTATTCCAGGGCCTTCACCAAAAACACTTCCAAATCCTTTCCATCATGTCCATCCCTTCCTTTATTCCCGTTTAAAGGCTTTTAAAAAACTTTGAGATTCATGAGTTAAAAAAGAGATTGTCCCACACATTTTAAAAGAACTTCGAAAGATTTCGGGAATGTTCCAGAAAATGTTCGAATAGATACTAACATGAGTTCAAAAAAGCTTCAGTTTTCAGAAATATTTGATTAAAAAAGTATGCCCCCCCCCCTTGACCATGCAAAAGTACGCCACTGATCACAAATTTATAATTTTGGATACCATAAAAAACTTTTTTTTAAACATGTTTTAAGTAGGTATAACATGTTCAGTGTCCCAGACAAAATTTTCATCCTGTATATTGCCCTCGCACTTCTTACTAGTTCTTTCTCTTTTTCATTTTGTCTTTGTTCATCGAGTTCTTGGTGTTTTTTTTTACATTTGCGTTCCATTCTTCTCTATTCTCTTTCTCCGAAGCATTCTAAATGTTTATTAAGCGATTTTGAGTTTTTGAGACTCTTTTTATTTTTTCACATTCTGGTTCTTCTTTTGTACTCTGCGTCTCCTATTTTCATTTCATTTTATACCTATTGTCTCGGTATGTCTTCATTTCTCATTTTTCGTGTTTTTTTTTCAATATCTTGTCATCGTTTTCTATTATTTTATTTTGTTCTGTGCATTTTTTCACTACTTTTCCTTCTTGGTTTCCGTCGTCCTTGTCCATTCTCAGTTCTTCAGTTTATTTACTTTGATAGCCTAATTCTTTCTGTTTCTCCTTTTCATTTTCGGCATCTTTCCCATTAATTACCAATTGTCTTTTCAACCCTTCTCGTTTTATCCTCTTCTTCATATTCTTGCCTTTCTCTCTACTCTTCACACTTTTCTCACATCGTTTGTTCTCCCCTACTTTTTTTCTTATTTTTTTACTCTGGTCCTTCTTCATTGTCCTCAGATTCCTTCCTCTTTTTCATTTGTCGTTCCTGCCGCTAGCGCTACTCCTATTTCTATTATAGTTCTTTAGTCCTTCACGCTTTCACTTTTTTTATTACATTTCTTTCTTTGGTCTCTTTCTTTTCCACTTGCGTGCCTCTCTATTCTTGTTCTCCATATCATTTTAAATGCGATTGTATACATTGTCTTGGTATGTTTCCATTTCTCTTTTTACTTTTTCATCTTTCACTCTGTTTCCTTCGTGATTTCGGTCGTGTTTGTTTGCTCTCGGTTTTACTTGTTCCTTTTCTTCAACATTGACATTTTTCCAATTTTTTTCACTAGTATTGCCTTTTTCACCCTTCTCGTTTTTTTCCTATTTTTCATATTCATGCCTTTCCCCCCGCTCTTCTCACTTGTCGTTCTTGTCGCTATTGCTGCTCGTACTTCTATTATTCTTCTTTCGTCCTTCTCGTTCTTACTCTTTATTTCTTTTATTACATTCTCTCCCTTCCTTTCCCTGCTTTTGTCGTTCATGGGTTTCCTGCTCTTTTCTACCCTTTCATTCTTGTTCCCCTTCTTCTCCTTTAACGCTAGAGTTCGTGTATCTTTAACAGCGTTTAAAAATATACAAGGATCTCAAATACTTCAAAGTTTTTAATTTGCAAGTGTACATTTAGTCTCTCTGTCTCTCCAACAGTTTTTAATGGTCTCCACGGTCTTTCTTTATAGCCAATGTGAGATTAAGAGTTCTTTGGAATATTGAAGGACTTCATTTAATCTCCAAACCTTGAAAATCTTTTAAGGCCATTTTCAAGCGTTGAGGATCTCTAAGTGGAAAAGGTTTTTAAGAACCTTTAAAGATCACCAACAGTCTTTATGGACTTCTAAAGGTCTCCAGCAGTTAATAATAGTGTTCTAAAGGACCCTAAGGGACAGTATGCAAGACTTCTCTACAGTTTTTTGCATTTTAAAGTCTTCTAGAGCTGTTTTGTAGCATTAGAACTGTGTAACGGAGCTTTCACAAATTTGCAAAACCCTCAAAGAGCCTTCTAGAGGTTTTTAGAAAGCCCTACAGAGCTTCAACAAACCTTAAGAGTCATCAAGAGGTTCTTTCTTCTCCTTGAGAGAATTTCCCAAGATACAATACTATATTAACACTTAAGAGACCTTAAAATCCTTTAAGGGTTTTTAAGTGGCTCTTAAAACTTCTAAGAGACTTTATTGGTCATTTAACAGTTTTAAACTCTTCTTGAAACCATATTAGAATCTACTCTAAAAGTACTAAAACCCGTATCTGGTCCTTCTTAAATCCTGTCTAAATAAATATGGTAAATTTCTAAATGGTGGTACTGTCGTTAATGCGGGTACTGATTAGTGGAAAAACTATAACGCAAATCATTTACATCCTCGATAAATTAGGTGAATTGCACTCGTTTAACGAATCACACTGATTAATCACTCATTTTGCAACTCGTAACTAATGAGAAATTAACGTCAATATTTTTTTTGTTCCAGGAATCTCCGTAGTGATAGCCGTATTATTGACATCGATCACAATCCTGTGCCTTTTGTACGTGTTTCTTAATCAAGAGCCCGTTCTGAAGTTGGAATACGGCATGGACTCGATTATGATGGTGCTTTTAATCACCGAAATGTTTTACGGCGCGTTTGTCTTTATGCCTTGCTGCAATAAACCAGTTATTGATTAGCGACACGTGAAGCATTTTTTTTCTGTTCTCCTCCCCCCCGACCCCTCCAAAACGAATTGCCCAACGTCCACCCGCCACTGGCCTCCGTTCATTACTCGCACCGTTGTTGTCAGGAAACGTACACTTTTCGAAGTCATTCTGGCGGCGCTCAAGTTAAATTGATTTCGGGGATCTGCCTCCTGAAAGGACGTGTTCGTCGTCGACGCTTTTCCCTACAGTACGTTCATGGTGCGTTTCGCGTTTGCGTTTCGAAGGTCTTGTGCTTGATCTGAACACATTTAAAAGAGTTGAATTGTAAAGCTCACATACCTTAAGTGTATTTGCATAGTGATAATAGGGTTCTGAGGGGGTAATAATAAACCATACCAACGTTTTGCGCTTTTGCTGAGTTGCAAAAACTGTTAAGAAACACTTTAAGGAGTTTCTAAATAGATTCAAGAGCCTTTAAGACTTTAGATCTCAACCATCATGTTCTCCTGATAACCAAACCTTTGTTAATTAGGAGAGAAAATACCTACTCACAGATTAGACACTCCTGGCACGAGGTTCGGAAAGGTTTAAACCAAAGTAAACTGTTAAAATGTTGTGGATGATGAAAGTAGACCTCCTGGGCCATTATGATCTCCTGTTAGTTTTAGAAAATTTTGCTAATACTCCGTGTATTAAGGGTAGAAACACCTCACACATTACATTCCCTAGTCTGCCTCATTTAAGTAACAAGGTTTGGCAAAATTCAGCTTCTCCTCTGTAAAGACATATTGATCTATAAGTCAAATGGATTTGCTCATTTGAAAGGTATTTTCAGAAGATCATCAGGCTTCACTTTTCACTAGATGAATAATGGACACTATCGTAACGCGCTTAATTATTGGAAGAAGTAATATAGGAAACTAAGAAGGATTTTTTTCTGTGCTCCTGATACAACATTGTTAATCGAGGTTGCAGTGAAAGTGATGGTTTCGAGCACAGAAAGTATATTTTTTATTTTTTTCAATTGTATTAAATACCAGAAAAACATTTTCTGTGCTCCTAATACAATTATTTCTTTTTAACGTTGTGTGATCAGGAGAATATCACGTTCCAAAATCCACCTATGTCCCTAATAGAACGGCTCCTTTTTACTAGAGGAATAATAGAGGGAATTACGGGTTATTGAGAAAGGATTCGTCTGCGCTCCTGATAACATTACTATTTTAAAGCTTGCGACCCGCAAAAGAATGCTCCCAATAAAACGAATTTGTTCTACGAGTGGATTAATAGACATGGTCGCGCACATACAAGGCGTCTAATTGTTTGGAAATGAATTCTACTGTGCTCCTGGTACAACTATCAAACGAATATCCGCCTAAAGTGAGCTTTCCATGCACAATATAATGACGGTATCAAAGGTGTACTAAATATGAAAAAGGATTTGTCTGTGCTCCTTATTGAATTAGCTTTTTGTGATCAGGAGATCATTACGTTCCAAAATCTGCCTATGTTTGTAATAGAACGAGTTAGGAGGAATAATAGATCTGGGTACATAATGCAATCGCGTTTAGTGAGTGGGAACAGTAGCTGAGAATGAAGGAAAATGCTCCTGAATCTTAAATATCCAGCGATAGTGAGCGTTCCGTGCCCTATTAGTTGCATAGCAAGATCAGGAGTGCATCAAATATGAGAAAAGATTTGCCTGTGCTTTTGATTTTTGTGATTAAGAGGATATCGCGACCGAAAATGTACCTTTTGCCTCAATACAACGGGGTTTTTGGTTGCCAGAGGAGTATACGAACTGCGAATTGGAAACTAGATCCAGTAAGGAAACTATAATCTGAGATGCAGAAAATTCATTGGAACAGTAAAAGGAAGTACAATAAAGCCTGGAAATTGGAAAATAGTATTTGGAAGCGGAATGTTGGGATCTGGAATAGTGTCAAAAGCGAGAAAGGAACGCCTGCCTATGTTCTCCTGATACAAAATTGAATTCTAAATGATAAACATGCAAAAGGCTGCAAAGTATATATCAGGAGACACAGATTATTATAGATTTTCTGTTCTCCTGGCACAAATATAAAGATTCTCCTGTTGTGATTCAAATCGATTGCTTAAAAATTTCGGTATCGCGATAACTGTACAATTTATTAGAATAAGACACAATTGTCATGATCTGATCTGACCTGCTGATACAAAGCTTTTTTTAAATGTACTTGGAGTCCTGTACAACCACTGCAAACAGCCACCCAAACATTGCAAACACTCAGATAGCTGTAAGACCGATTACCATTTTGCAGATTATATTCTCCTGATACACTTTTTTTTAAACACGCTGCTTATGTTCTCCTGGTACAAAATTGAATTCTAAATGAGAAACATGCAAAAAGCTGTAAAGTATGTATCAGGAGACAGATTATTATAGATTTTCTGCACTCCTGACACAAATACACAACGCCTCAATTATTTAAAAATTTCGGTATCGCGATAACTGTACAATTTATTAGAATGAGACACAGTTGTCATGATCTGATCTGACCTTCTGATACAAACCTTTTTTTAAATGCCATTGGAGCCAAGTACAAGCCGCTGTACTCTTGATCCAAACTTATCTACTAAAAAATGCTGTATTAAACACAGCTACATAAAGGGCTAAAGCTAATAGGATACCATGTCACCAATTATATTCGCAATTTGCAAGCTCCTCTTCTCTATTAATGAGAATCTCATAAATATAAGCTTTTGTTCTCCTGATACAATCTTTTAAAAAATTGTATGGTATGGAATACCGTCCCAGCACACAGGAGGGGCCAATTCCTCTCTCTAAAAAGCTACCATGACAGTTGCTTTCGGGAAAGTTCCAGTAAATATCCCTTTTGGCTGGGGAAATTCCATAACCCCCCCCCCCCAAGACCACCCGCGCCACGTCCCCTCGTAAAATGTTTGTATGATTAAATTTCCTTTTCTGAGAAATACTTCATACAGTTTTTAAGGCTGCAGATTTCGATGGAAATGGTAGCACCGGGGGATCTGGAAGGTGTACCCCCCCCCCTAGCATACAAGAAGGGCCAGTAAAGTTTCAGTAAATATCATTTTTTGCCCGTCCCGTGCTACGTCCCCACCCAAAATGCATGTATGATTAGTTTCCATGGAGTGCGTTAAAATTTTCTTTTCTGAGAAATATTTCATAGAGAGTCTCAAGGGTGCATATTTTGGGGGAAACCGTAGCACCGGGGGGTCTCGGGGGGTATTCCTATCCCCCAGCAGACAGGAGAGCTAATTTCTCCCTCTAAAAAATTACCATGCTAGCTGCTTTAGGAAAATTTTCAGTACGAATCGCTTTTTGCCTGGGGATATTGTCCTTGGGGGAATTGTATACCACCCACACCCCCCGGTGTTGCCACCCAAAATGTACCCATATATCATTATTTTCTGTCGAGTGCACAGGTAGCATATTTGGGGGGGGGGCGAGGGTCTGGGGGAGAGGGATATGGAGTACCTCCCACCACACAGGAGGAATCGACAGCTGCTTTCGGGAAAGTTTAAGTAAATATCCCTTTTGCCTGGGGGTATTCCTTACCCCTAAACCATCCGGTGGTACGTCTTCTGCCTAAATGTGAGACAGAGCTTTGAGGCTTAAAATTCTGGGGGAGGTGGTAGTACGGGGGCTGTGGGGAGTATAAGACTCCCCTATTTTTGTTAGAAATATTTTATAAAGATTTTTGAGAGCAAAAAATTGTGGGGGAAGTGGTAGTACCGGAGCTATGGGGGGTATAAGACCCCCCCCCCCCCTGTACCAGATCCGGCGGTAACACTTTCCCCCACAAAACGTTCAGCCCTCGGGACTCTTCCAATATTTTTTTTTGGAAAATTATCGAGTTCTTTTCTGCTGAGAAATTTTTTTTTGGCAAATATCGGATGACCTTTTGCTAGTAGTGAGAGGGCTGTTATCCCCTCCTGTTTTTGTGACGTCACACGTGTTGCGTTGTGATTGGCTGCGCCATTTTGCGGAGCTAAATTTGAATTTATGCGGAAGTTTTTTGACTTTCCCGATGTCTGCCATTGTGTGGTCGTAAGCTCAATTTATGCGGGATATTTGAATTTACGAATTTGCGGATGTCTGCCATTTTATTACGGCAAATTTGAATTTGTGTGGGGAATTTGAATGTTTGATTTTACGGGAGCCATTTTTTGCGTTAAATTGTTTTGAATGTGTGTGATTGGCGCCACCTAGTGAAGATTTGGTGTTACAAGAATCGGAAATATAGTTTTCCATAATTGGCATCTAGTGACTGATTCATGAAATAGTGCCGTGGTACTAAATTCGAAAAAATGTATAGCGAGTTGCGATAGATGTATACATGGCGAAATTTACATATACGGGGTGTAATGATAGCTATATACAGGGTATTTTATATTTTAACATTTACGTTTAACGTTTTAATACATTAAATTAATACAAACTCTAGATATTTATCAACGGAACAACGTATCACAGTCGATAATGAATGTAAGTTAAGCAATTTGTAATTAAAGAACATATTTTTTATTTGTTCCTGTAAAAATAACCTACGCCCAGTATTAAACTAGTGACAGTAGTTTGTTCTTTCATATCCTTGTCTTTGAAATTGGATTGTTATCATTCAAAAATTCAAATCCTCATCACAAATTCTAATTATTTGCTTTTTGTTTGGAAAAACATGATATTTTTCAGACTTCTAACAAAAGTTTCAAAAGGCGAATTTTGAGTACACGCTTAGGTACTGTTTTTTCAAAGTAGGTAATAACTGCACACTAACTCATAATGTAGAATGTGATTGCTATGTAAAAGAGAAGCCAAACAATTTGCATCTTTTTATAGCAATTCTGTCGTGAAAGTAAAGGAGTAGGTATATTGCAAAAAGGAGTAACAAAGCTCAAATCATTGATGTAAATATAAAACAGTATCGGGCCGCGATCTGAGCCCTGCGGGACACATTTGTGTGTTACTGATTTGATTGGTTCTGTAATAAAAGTTTTATTTCTATCCTGTT